ATCTTGTCTGGATCCACCTCCTCCTACAATCTTGTCTGGATCTAGTTCACAGGCAGTTTTATCTGGGAACTTTACATGTCAGAACTGCAGAATAGCAGCCAGCTACCCAGTGTGCAGATAGAAGGTGCCTGTAAGAGAATCGATATGACCTGTGTGTTGTGTGAGAGGAGGAGGGAGGGAGAGGGAGAGCAGACAGCCCAGAGCCAACATCAAACACAGGAAAAGGAAAGGAGGTAGATCCAGACAAGATTGTCAGCATAAGAATCCATAGAAGACTATAGCCCCTCCCACAGGTATTTACCTTGATTTTAAAAGGAAGGGTGCACTTCTTGGAGGACTGGAATGATTGTTATGTATTAGCAGCTCTCAGGAAATAGGATAAAGCTTAAAAAAGTAAACCCATACTTCTATTTTAAGCCAGTATCAGGATTGAATGCAATCGTACTACCATACCTTCCAAAGTTACTTAAATTCAGCACACCAGTCATCCTAACTATGTTCCACTTGCAACTATACATCCAATATCTGAAAACACAGGCATGTCACAGTTTGATAAATACATTGTTTATTGAGAATTCACAAATAGAGGCCTCACTAAGTTTGATGACAAACCTTAACATTATAGTAGCTCTAAATTCACCTTCAAGACTACAGTTAGTAAACTAGATATTACAGCTACAGAAGAACTAGATTTTCTAATCAGGTGGCTATGTCCTCAACCTACTGAATGACTCAAGAGACTTAATGCAATTCACATTGAATACTTCAATTACAACATTGCTTGGTAACATTGCTTGGAACATATGTGAATGTAGCTTTGTCAACCCAAAAGCCACTGGGAATGCTTTATTCAAAAAGAGACCTTCTCTTGGATCTATAACTCACCAAAGCTGACATCTACCTACCTAGCCTCAGTTACTTGGACACTACGGGTAGGGTCAACCCAATAGATATCAAGCTATGGTTCAGTACTTAGAAAAAATTAGATGCACTTGGATCAAAGTGCAAGGAAGAGAGTCAAGTTAACATTTCTGCATTTTCTATAACTTTGAGTTAATCAGGAAAATTTCAGGCACCAAGAATGGCTCAAGTTTCTCCAATGTTGAATCTATCCCTCTCAGGTGACCTTTTCTAAAACCTGACAACTCATGAGTCTCACAAAGGCCACAGAAGTTTTGAATGATGGTTTTTTAAGTGTTCTTTCTTTGTATAAGTTTTTGCATGACAGCATCAAGGGCCATTAAGAGAGTTACAAGTGGCACATCTGTAAATGACTTCACTCAACTGAGGAAATCTCACAAGCAGAAAAAAAACAGATCGTTCTACTTGAGTCAGGTGTCACATGGGAAAGTCCAATATTTGATGAATGATGAACAAAACCCCTCATTATTGCAGTATCACATTACTGTTCTGCTGGTTAGATATTGCCATAAGCAAGTTCAGAATCAAGACCATAATTTTACAGTAGGAACAGTTAGATCTGAAGGGCTCTAGATTGTTGAAATTAAATAATATATATAGTTATCTTCCATACTCCACAAATGTGTAAAAAATTGAGAGGAGGGCATAAAAAATGATGCTATATTTCCCAGTCAACAGGTTACACCCCGGGCCACCCTTTACTAGACGATATTGATATTTTTGGCCTCTGGTCTATAGTTACTTGTAAGACGTGTGGTAAAGTAATTAACAATTCATTTTGGGCTGTGTTGTTAACCTTCCTGACTATTCATGCAGTGCACATTAAAGTGATAGAATAAATTGAGTCTGCTTGTGCCATAACTGCTCTCTTAAAATTTGTATGCATTTTTTTTACATGAGTACCTGTAATGTTACTGAGATCTGACTTCAGGACTAATTTTACATGGCTAAAAGGGTAAAAAAAAATGAACAACATCAAAAGTAAAAGTGAATTCAACCCACCTCATTCTTCGCAGGTGGGATGTTCTTGGGAAATCAAGATTGGGACAGCAAGAAAAATCTTAAATTCTGTACTAACTGACTTCGAAGCATACCCATAAAATATTAGTCCCCTTTATTGCAGAGGAGTCTTCTATAATTAATCCCAGACCACTGGTTCCAGTTTCCTCAGACCCAGAGTCCCCAGTGTAGCTTACTCCAGACACTCTCCTCACGCAAAATATTGGGATAGCTGCACTTTCTTCTGAAGAATTTGACTGACTCAATGTTAACAATGACAACAGAAATAGGTCTAATGCCCTGGCAATGTATTTTGGAGTCACTGAAAAAAAAAGAGTACCACTGCAACTGTCAGGAATGGACTGGCCAGCAATGGTGGGACTCGCCTGCCTTATGGGCTGCAGTACCAGGGCTGGCCAGCGGGTGCTCCCAGCAATCAGAGACTCAACCTTGCAGCCAGCTAAACACCTGAAACTGCTTATACTGGTGTATTTAAGGGATGGCCAGACCTGCAGACTCTGCCTTGGTGTGTGTTTTTCCTGGGCCCTGTATCCTGTTCCTGCATCCTGTTCCTGTTCCTGTTCCTGTCTTGTTGCTGACCCTGCCTGATCTGACCTCTGCTGACTTCTCCTGCTCTGACCCCGGCTCGTTCCTGACCATCCCTCTGCCTGACCCTCTGTACCACGCTGCCCGCTACCTGCTGAACCTGGCTTGTGATCCCGACCATTCTCCGCTTGCTCCCCCTGTACCTACCTGCCCGATTGATATTGACCCGGCCTGCCTGACGACACTTGCATTGTATGTACTGTTATCTGTGGGTGGTTTGGTTTGGTTCGTTTGCACTGTGTTATGTTTTAGTATTGCACTGCGTTTATGTTTGTATTGTTAGTGTCAATAAATTATATTGTTTATAACATATCTGAAGTCTGCGTTTCCCTGCGTCAGTCACACACCTCTGGTCATACCCGGGAGCCCTGACAGCAACCTTCAAGGTCCTAGAAAATGGCAAATCCAACCTAAAAGTAGGCTATGTAGTACTCTTGAAAGATAAAGATGCCCATATGATTAGCCTATGGGTTATTTACAAAAACCATGCCAAAAATTATAATTACAGAAAGTCAAAATAAAGGTGGTTCAGTACCACTTCACTTTTTATTCTCATTAAAGATCTTGCTTCCTGTGACTTGATTCAGGGTATATCCTGGAAACTTCCATCTTTGGCATAGATATGAAATTCAAGGAAGGTAAGAAGATCTGGTGCATTTTTTTGCCTTCACCTCTGAAAATACAACCATGAACAGTCTTCTGTTCTTGCTATGGTCAACGGTTTCAAAGACATGACATCTGGTGTTACGTGTTATGCAGAGAATTGCATTTGTATAACCTGATACTTCTCTCCCCCCATTTTTTATATGATGTAGGACAAGAGTAATTCATTATTATAGTTTGATTAATGATTGAATTGTATTATTTGGATGAAAACTGGCATGGTACACATGCATTGTTACTCGCTGTTTTTGTTTTTGGTTCATAATTTTCTTCTTAGAATTTTGACCTTAGTTTTCTCATCATAGTTCATTTTTCTCCGTTTTGTTTTTTCAACCCCTCCAGCAGTATGCTATATCCTCTAATCCATCCATATGTTTTGCAGATGTGGCTTATATTATGGTCTTTTGATCTATATGGATGTTCACTGTTGTCAAGATCCTGAGTTTTGGAATACACAGTGTTCGAGATGGCATTCTAACAACATTCAACTGTTTGCCATTACTTTTGAGAATGTGTTATTGTGGTACAGTCTCATAAGCCACAGAGATCACGTTTCCAATGTCTGTGCACTGTATGTAAACCAGAACAATGAACTTCGTATTTGCTTTCTTTTGGTCTGTTAAATACACTATTGAAAGTATTTTATTTTACCTTCTGATTCTGCCAGAAAACTTGTGAGCTGATAACTTCCTATCCTTTACCTTTGCAGATAATTTTCAGTTATATTATTTTAACTTGGTTCGAAGAACTTCAGGGCCACACTGCTTTATATGTATAGAGAAGAGGAGAAGGGCAGTGTCCTGTAGTCATATTGTGTTTCTGTTGACCTGACACAGTAAGGTGTTGTCATATTAGAACTGGAACTGTGTTGCTGGCAACATCACCAGGTGAAAAGAAAAGAAAAAAAAACCTGAGAAAAAAACAAATTCAGACACTACATATGGGAACTTACAAGTCCTTAGACCAAAAGACAGAAGCTATGTCTGGCTGAGAAGAAGGAGTGGGTACATAGACTAATACTTTGTTTTTTGTGATGCCCCATGTTTAATTGGAAGGTGTAGGATAATTACAAATCAAAACACATTTGATTAACTGACCTGTTTTTCATTGCTTCATTAATCAATTCCACTAATCTAAAGAACAAAACTAAGACTGAGGCTGAGATATGTTAACATACCTCTTATAAAGTGGATGTTGATATAGGAAACAGGTGAGGAAGATATAGAGATTGCATAATCTCATAAATAGGTATATTGTATCTATTGGATCATGTGATAATACATATCATATCAACAGCATTGCATTCAAGGAAATGGATGGGCATATTGCTGTTTGCACTATGATCTGGCAATAAATTAATTGTGGTTTCTGGATCATAGCTTTTCATCTTTTAATGATTTTAACATAGGGATTAATAACATTTCACTGCAAGAAAGGATTGGTTAGATAAACACATCGTACACTGGTAGAGACCTAATAATGTATTATCGTCTCTTTATATGAGTAACAAAAGCTACCCTAATTATAATTTCACGAGACATTTTAACTTCCAAATTGCCTTGGTGATTTTTTTCTGGGTGTTCTATCAAAGCCCTAAACTAACATAAGCACAAGAATATTTTGCTTTTACTACTGACACATTTTTCTATGCTGTATATTTTTCAGAACAAATCATCTGTTTTGCAGAACGGCTTATTTTATATCTAGAGGGTAGTATGCACAAGAATAATTCCTCCACTGTACTTGTCAAATATTCATGTATTAATAGCAATGAGAGCTGCTTGCAAAGCATGACACAAATCCATACATACCTTTGTTAAATCCTGAAGGGATTTGCTCCACACCTTGCAAAGTTCTGCTGGTATGTATGAATAGATTCCCTGAAGCCATTCTGCACTAAGTGGAGACACCATACAAGGGTCGATGGATTCTTCAATAAGCCTGTAATATCTGCAGAATAAAAATGCAGTGTGAGAATGTTTCAAAAGCTTTCCTGTTCCTTCAGCAGATATGAATAGACAATATTTCTTTCTGTCTTCCCAATGTATATGTGACACCCTAGTAAAAAAAAAGATGACAGACTCTGCACCCTGTCACAACCTTCTGTTAGGATATGCCAGCAATGAGCCAGTAATAACAGTTATTCTGAACAATACGGTTAAGCCTGAGACAACAGACAAACTTACTATTCCCTTGATTAATGTTCCACACAGTAAGTGATGCCTCAATTTCAGCCATTCTAAATTAAACTAATTATTTCTTCACCCTGCTGTCAATTAGGTTCAATTTTGCAATATCAACAAGTTGAAACTTAAACAGAATTTGCATAATATAATCATTAAAATCCTTTTAGAGGACTTATGCTAATGAAAGACACTGTGGCTGTTTCTGTGGCAGTACAATAAAGTGTTTACAGCACAAACTGCTGCAGTTTTATTTTTAAAGAAAAACAGGGAAAAGGAAACGTTTTATAGAAAGAACGAAGCAAGGACATAAATGTGGTACAAGCTGTGAGACTAGATTTTTTAAAATTAATTTTATATTTTTCTTGTAAATGTGAAAAAAGCCATTGGAGATGGTTATAAAACAGACTATCATAACACAAACATAATTCACAGTAATGGTCTGCTGGTGTAAGTTTTTCCAAAGCTGTACTCAATAATCAGATGAAATAACTACTTCAGTTCTTTGAAATTGTCACTAATTGATAAGCCTGTAGTCCTAGTTGCAGGTTTAAAATACTCTAATAATCATGCAATTAGTGGTCCTTGAGGAGTAAGTTAAATGTACACTCATTCTTGGATGTGGCTATTTGAACGGACAAAGGGGCTGATTTACTAAAACTGAAGAGTGCAACATCTGCTGCAGATCTGCATAGAAACCAGTCAGCTTCCAAGTTTCTTGTCAAAGCTTAACTGAACAATCTGAAGCTAGCTTTGAGCACAGCTGCACCAGATCTTGCACTGTCCACGTTAAGTAAATCAACCCCAAAGAGTATATAAGTGAGCATAAGGCAACATTTTTTGGTTGGCTATAACAACTAATTAGCTGGACTGTTAAGATGACATTTGGAAGCTAATTGGTTGGTATGAGCAATACGATATTTCATCATTAGCACACTCTACATAAATTAGGCCCTGTGTCACCTTCATCTGTTAAAATACCCAAATTCAAGTATGCCTGGAGTCTACACTCAAGGACAATTATTCAACTTCCCTAAATTGCTTTCCTATCTAGCCTGTAAACCTGTATTTGAACTTGTATAAGATGTGTGCCTCTTTGCCCCATCAATAGTAAGTAATGCATTTCTTGAGCCTCATCCATCTCATCTGCCTAGAAATTACCACATTTTTGATCAGCTTTATTCAATTTTGTATAATTACTAGTAAACAGATTGTGCTCCTGGGGAAATTTAATATTCAAGTCTAAGAGCTCCAAGTTGACTTCCTTCATGCCTTCAAAACATTCCCAGATCTGCAAGCATCTTATGGACTGCCCAATGTGGAAATTTTCCACTATCTCCAAATAAAAATTTTTATTCCATCTACATCAACCTTGGCTCCTCCTAAGATGGTATGAACCACTTTGAGAGATTATGCCAACTCAACCCCCATTTCCCTTTTTTTTTATCTCTAAGCTCTATCAGCAGCTACTAGATGGACCCAACTCCAACCTTCCTGCATTCATTCAATGTGACCTCAAAGTCACCTCAGAAACTATTGACTGGAGCATATTTTGGGAAGCAACTAAAGCCTTGACACAGAATATTGTTGCATTAGAAACTAACTTTAAGGTATTGACTTCCCTGGTACATGGTACCTGCGAGAATTGCCAAATTTGTTCTGCTTTCTGTCTGTGGAGGCCTAGGTACACATTTCCACATCTGATGGTCATGCCCTGTTGTGTTTACCTTTTGAATAGAAATTTTCCACTTTATCTCTACCCTCTTCTCCACCATTAAATCGCATGACCCACTCTTGGCTCTGCTCATATCTCATTCCCCAGCACTATCTTACCCAGCTTTTTTCTACAAGTCACGACAGCTGCAAAACAGATCATAGTGAAATCTTGAAAGAATCCCTTTCTCAACTTTTTAGAAACCCAAAATAGAATCACTCAGGCAATGATTAACGCTAAAATAGAAGCAGTTAGGGTTTCCCATAACTTTCTGTGCAGGAGGCAAAGAACAAGTAGGTGAATCATTCCATTTTGGACACAGAAGCAATAAAAAATACGACAGGGCAAAGAAGAGGAGGAGGTGTTTGAGGTCCAAATCAGGACAGCACCTTAGACTTAAAACACTTCTCCTCCAAAGATACAACAAATGAGTGTTGTCACCCTGGGACACATGTGTTATGAGCATGGTCACCATGTAAAAATAAGGGGAAAATGCCTGAATAAAGGAAACTAAGATATCTACCACATTTAAGAACTGATATACTGCAATATAATATAAATATGTTTTTTTTATAGGGGGGATAAGCTTCAAGGGGTCTATTTAAAAAAAATCAAATTCTGTGTGAATGTCTGATCATCCACACAGCCATCAGAAATAATCCCTGTAATCTACTATGTTTATTTTCTATGATCGTTCAGCTTCATATAGTCTCCATAATGTTGCTAAGTGTTAAAGTGTACCTACGGTAAAAAAATAAAAATTATGATATTGTTTTTTTGGTGACCATAGAATTCTTTTACGAGAATATTAAAAAGCACAGCAATATTTTAGGGTTTAGGTAAAAATTTCAGGTTGTGGGAGGATAAAATGTGAGGACATTAACGCTGGTGACTTCCGGCCCTGAAAGGGGTGTCTGATGCCAGGAGGTGGGGCAGGGTTTATGATCATGTCACCCTCATAATTAGCTGTCACAATGAGCACATGATCGAAAGCTCCCAAACGCAAGTAGCACCGATAACTGCCAGAAGCGCCCAGATCTGAAGCCATATATTTGCCTACTGTTTGCCTGAAAGTTAAATATCTATTAAAATTTTTAAAAAGTATATTCAAGTATTATTCTTAATCTTAAAAAAACATATTCCATTACTCTCAGCTTCCTCCAAATCTCCAAAATCCCTTTTGCTGCTGTGATCTGACTTCCTGTTACCATGGTCCCACTGTATGTAGGAATGTAGCCACCTTGTCTTGATCACTACTAAGATGGACTAGGGACTATGTAATTTGTGTAATTTGTAAACGTGTGCATAAAGCACCTCACATGACCTCAACTGGATGTGTATGGATTCTTTTTGGACAATAAGGATATAATTTAGTGTCAATTTAGGGATACTTAGAGAAAGCTTATAATTTTCCAATTGTCAAAAGTGATTTGTTTGCTCTTAAAATAGAAGCTTTCACTTTAAAAAGTTCCCCCCAATTTACAAAAGTCTTTTTTAAAAAAGCATACATAATAGTTTGCACTATTGTGTATTTCACATGTGTTTTATTACACAAACGGACTAATGAAAATGTCAGCAGTAATAAGCCCTATAAACACATGTTTATAAGACTAATTCCTGAATACATTTTTATTTGTGCATATTAGATTGCATTCTTTTCAGTTATTACATCAGATATTTTTTTCTCCTTATTCAATTATTTAGTTTTTAGAAACTGCAATTCAACATGCAAAAAATGCAAAATAATGCATTTAGAGATAAGGAATCCTCTGATACAGTGCAATATTGGGGGTAAAGAGTTGGCCAGAACAAAAAAAGAAAGAGATTTGGGTGTTCTCATTTCAGATCATTGCAAAATGAGCAAAACAGAATAACCAAACAGTGAGGAAAGCAGAATTCTGGGGTGCATCACTAGAGGGATCACCAGCAGGTGGAAGAAGATCCTGATTTATAGATCTTTAGTTAGACCTCATTTAGAATACTGTGTCAGGAGACCTCACTTGCAAAAGATATTGGTAAAAATGAATGAATCCAAAAACAGGCAACAAAAATGGTAACAGGTTCAAGGGATAAAAACAAAACTTCAGGAACCTAATATGTACAGTGTTGAGGAAAAAAGATAAAGGGATGACCATGAATGAAACCTTTAAATACATCAAGGGGGGTGAATAAGGTTCAGTAGGGCCATATTTTTAATATGAAGCCAAGATCAAAAGCATGTAGACATGAACTTACACTAGTAGGAGCAAATTTTGAAACAAACCTTGGAAAGTATAATTTTATCAAGAGAGTAGTCAATGCTTGGAACAAAAATCCAGCAGAGTCAGTCAACAGTAGGTGAATGTGAACATTCTTGGAACAATTATAAAGCTATACTCAGACAAAAAGATTTTTAAAAAAAGAAAAAAACAAAAAAGGGGCAAATTTGATTGACCACTTTTTTTTTCTGCAGTCATTCCTCTATGTTTATGTATTATTGCATATGCACGGGTGGAAAAGGGCTCTAAATCAAATTAATTGCTGCCTATATTATAGACAGACATTTTTTCAGATGCGTTGATACACGAGGTCCATTATGTTTAAATCATTCACTGTGAATTCTTACAGGTTTACCTGGTCAGTGAGCAAGGAAGCCTGTTAAAGATAAAACGTGGCTTTTACATTTTATAGATTTCCATTTGATGAGCTAAAGTACGAATGTTACTTATGTCCGTTGAATGTGTTTCACACTAATCTATAGCGGGGGAAATAACGCAACAATGAATGACAGATTCCAGGTAACTGTGCTTTTTAACTAGCCTCAAGGCCATTTTATGGATTCTGTTCTATAAGATTAATGGAAACTATAGGTTTTTTGTAAGTAGGCTGTTTATATCTAATGAGAGAAATTCATTGCAGCTCAGCTACTGTGTGTTACCAAGCCAAAATTAAAAAAAATGGTTTAAAGTAACATGTTAACTAAGGAATGCAATACTTGCTGACCTAAAAAGTTAAAAGCAGACATCAAAAAGTACCTACATGTACTTAGTTTTATCTTTTGGAGTGTTCTGAGAGCT